TTATGCTGTAGATATACACTTATTTAGGAGTATTCCTTTCAGTTCGGATCCTTCACATTATATGCTAGTCTTCTATTTGGCGGTTTAACTTGGTTGCTTTTTCTAATTACTCCATGTGCACTGTTGTTATTGACTGTAGTCTCTTGGCCATTTTTATTCATGCCAATACTCTCGTCCCCAAGGTCTAAGGCATGAATTTAGCCAATACTTCGTCAATCATCTTTAACAGTAGTAATTCCCGTTTTCTTCATTAGCACAAGCTCACAATGACACAACTTATCTCCAATTTTTTACAAGATTTGACCATTAACAACAAGTCTCTCATGTACACTATCAACAACAACAAACCTAGTATGTTCCCACCAGGTAGGATCTGGAGAGGGTAGTCTGTACACAGACCTTACCCTTACCTAACAGGTTGAGAGGTGGTTTCTAATAGACCCTCAGCTGAGGAAGGGTAATAAAAAAAAGAGGAAAGCAAGAAAGGAAGAAAGAGGGAAGAGAAAAGAAAAAGGGAGGGATAAAGAATAAGTAGTACCAAATAATAGCAATAGAGAATACAATACCTGAGGCGAACAAAGTCACATAACGTAATAAAAATCTAAGAAGGGACATGCGTGCTACTAAGACTATCGGTGAACAACTAAAAACTACCCACTAATTTTCTACCTTAATCCTCGACCTCCACACCCTCCTATCAAGGGTCATGTCCTCAGTAAGCTGATCAGTGCCATATCCTGTCTAATCACCTCTCCCTAGTACTTCTTAGGCCTACCTCGACCTCTTCTCAAACTCGCCATGGCCAACCTCTCACACCTCCTAACCTCCTAACAGGAGCATCAATGCTTCTTCTCGTAACATGTCTGAACCATCTCAGCCTCGACTCCCGCATCATGTACACTACCAGAGAGAATAATATCATCAACCACTTTGATATTCTGTCACTACTAGAAAACAGGCAAAACCCGTCCAAACAATGCCGACTGAAATCGACCAACCGAAATCGGTCGAAAAATAAGTAAATTGGTTGCAAAGTCAAAGAAAATACTTCTCACAACGGAAATAGTGGTCCCAGAGCAAATATATAAGAAATCCGACAGATTTCGGTAGGAAATTGGTCAATATTTGACCAAGACCTGGTCATACTTGTATATTATTTACAAAAATAATTTTTAATTAAAAAATTTCAAAAATACCGACCTATTTCGGTCGGTATATTAAAATTGTGCTTTCCCGCCCGAGGCAATTGGCTTTTAATATGACAAAATTATATACATCTATATATAATTTATCAACCGGAATAAGTTTTAATTAAATTTTTCCGACCAACTTCGGTCGGAAATACAATTTTATAGTTATTAAAATATAAATTTAATGAGATTACCGACCGAAGTCGGTCGGTTTTTGTCGATCTTTATATAAATAGCTTTTAAATAAATAATATTTAATATATATATATATATATATATATATATATATATATATATATATATATATATATATATATATATATATATATATATA